CATGTCCTTCTGCCTCTGTGCTCTGCATGATGTATTTGTGTGAGAAAATGGCTGTTTGTTACAGTTGCGACAACTGATATTCAGGACAGTGTGAGATGGGTAGTTGGGTGCAATGCTGGAGAGTGTCATATGTCTCACATTTGAACACCATGCCAAACTGCTGCTCACATGTTGCCTTGTCCTCATTATGCTTGCCTGCATCTCACATGTCTCTCATTAATGTCCACTATTAACTACTTAAGGAAACTTACTGGGTTTCCCTGACATCAAAGCTGGTAAAATACTCCTATGTTTGTACAATGGGCTCCTTGTTTTTATGAATTCGGGGCATAGTGACAAAAACATTTGCTGTTGTGTCTGGTGCTCTGAACTGTTGCAAATCAGTGGCGTAAAGTACGAGGTTTCTATTTACAAAAATTGCATGTTGCCTGCCATGTGATTGTATGTTTAACATTAAAGCAGAACTCCATAGAAAATGCAATTTTTTTTTAGAATAGGGAAAGGGTTGAACTGGCCATACACAGATTTCCAATCAAACATTCGTACTGCAAATTCTGAACAATCATTATTCCTGAGCATTCTTTCTTGCCATCCAATTGGCGTGAATTTACTAAAGTCCAATAGACATGTGCACTTTGCAAGTGCCGGTTTGCAGTTATGGTTCCCCAGGCTTTAGTAGATCGCGTGAAGCTTCACTTTGTAACGTATATACCTAATCAGGTACAAGGAAGATTAAAATAACAGCAATTTTGCTTGCACATGATTGGATGATGGACATCAGCAGAGCTTTGTCACTGGTCAGGAGCTCCCAGGTGTGGACCAGTAGGTGTTGTGACCTGGACGCAGGGAAACGCAGACTTCAGATATGTGTATAAAACAATATAATTTATTAACACTAACCTTACAAACTAGAAACGCAGTGCAATACTAAAAACAAAATACAGTGGCAAACAAACCAAACCAAACCAACCTCCACAGATAACAGTACATACAAGCAAGCGTCGGTCAGGGCAGGCCGGGCAATATCAATAGGGCAGGTAGGTACAGGGGGAGCAAGCGGAGATGGGTCGAGGGGTCACAGGCCAGGGTATCAGCAGGTAGCTAGCAGCGTTGTTACAGGAGGGTCAGGCAGAGGGCATGGTCAGGGTCACAAAGCAGGGATCAGAACAGGTAGCAAGCAGCGTGGGACAGAGGGTCAGGGCAGGAGGGATGGTCAGGAGCGAGCGGGGATCAGAGCAGGAGAAGTCGAGCAGCGGTTCAGATCAGGCAGTGGTCAGCAAAGGATCAGAAACAGGATGCAGGACAGATACAGGCCCCAGGACAAAACACAACACCAAGGCAGAGCCTGCAAGTCTGGCCATCCTCATAATATACAACCAGTCAGCATCAGATTCCAGGTGTTAGCTGGCTGCAAGGTTGAGTCCTCTGATTGCTGGGAGCACCAGCTGGCCAGCCCTGGTACTAAGCAGATCAAAAGGCAGGTTGAGTCCCACCATTGCTGGACCAGTCCATTCCTGACAGTACCCCCCCCTCAAGGAGCGCCCTCCAGGACGCTCCAAACAGTCCTAGCGGGGCAAAATGTTTCCACTGCCCGGGTCTGGTAAAAACTGGCGGGATATCAAAGGACTGGCAACACCGGGCAGGGACTCGGGCAGCGGCCTCACCAGGGCTGGACTCCGGGCAGAGCACATCGGGCTGGACTTCCGGGACAAGAGGCAACATCGGGCTGGACTCCGGGCAGAGGCACACTCGGGCTGGACTCCGGGCAGAGGCACATCGGGCAGAGGCACACGGGCAGAGGCACAACGGGCAGAGGCAAACATCGGGCTAAACTCCGGGCAGAGGCACATAGGGCTGGGGACTTCCGTGCAGCGGCACATCGGGCAGACTCCGGGCAGAGGCCACATCGGGCAGGAACTCCGGGCAGAGGAACATCGTATTTACTCAGGCGAAGCAGCAGGCAGCGGGCCACCAGGCGAAAGCAGCGGGCAACCGGGCCCCCGGGCGTGAGCAGCAGGGCACCGGGCCCCCGGGCGGAGCAGGCAGGCAGCGGGCCCCCCAGGAGGTGCGGACCGGCATGCGGGCCCGCCGGGCGGGGCGACCGGACCATCGGGCACTCGGGCGGTGGCGACAGGCATTCGGGGCCCCCGGGCGGGGCGACAGGCATCGGGCCCCCGGGCGGGGCGAACAGGCATCGGAGCCCCGGGGCGGCGGCGACCGGCATCGGGACCCAGGGCATGGGGCGACCGGCATCGGGGCCACCGGGCGCGGTTGCGAGCGGGCACCGGCCCCCCGGCGCGAGAGCCAGCGGGCTGCGGGGGCCCCGGCGGCGGGCGACCGTCATCGGGCCCCCAGGGGGGGCGACCGGCATAAAGCCCCCGGGCGGGGCGACCGGCATCGGGCCCCCTGGGCGGGTGGTCGACCGGCATCGGGGCCCAAGGGCGGGGGGGGGGGGGACAGGCATCGGGCCCCGGGCGGGGCGACAGGCATCGGGCCCCCGGGCGGGGCGGACAGGCCATCGGGCCACCGGGCGGGTCGGACCGGCATCGGGCCCCCTGTCGGTGGCGGACCGGCATCCGGGTCCCCGGGCGGGGCGACGGGCATCGGGCCCCCGGGCGACGGGCGATCGGGCCCCCGGGCGGGCCGAAGGGCATCGGCCCCCAGGCGGGGCGACGGGCATCAGCCCCCAGGCGGGGCGACGACGGGCATCGGGCCCCCAGGCGGGGCGACAGGCATCGGGCCCCCAGGCGGAGCGGCGGGCGCCGGACCCCCAGGCGGGGCGACAGGCATCGGGCCCCAGCGGAGCGGCGGCGCCGGACCCCCAGAATGGAGCGACAGGTCTCGGCCCTCAGGCGGAGCGGCGGGCGCCGGACAACCAGGTGGAGCGACAGGTCTCGGGCCCTCAGGCGGAGCGGCGGGGCGCCGGACCCCCAGGTGGAGCGACAGGTCTCAGGCGGAGCGGCAGGGCGCCGGACCCCCAGGTGGAGCAACAGGTCTCGGCCCCCTCAGGCGGAGCGGCGGGCGCCGGACCCCCAGGTGGAGCAAACAGGTCTCGGGCCCTCAGGCGGAGCGGTTGGGCGCCGGACCCCCAGGTGGGAGTCAACAGGTCTCGGGCCCTCAGGCGGAGCGGCGGGCGCCAGACCCCCAGGTGGAAGCGACAGGTCTCGGGCCCTCAGGCGGAGCGGCGGGCGCCGGACCCCCAGGTGGAGCGACAGGTCTCGGGCCCTCAGGCGGAGAGGACAGGTCTCCGGGCCCTCAGGAGGAGCGACAGGTCTCGGGCCCCCAGGCGGGGCGGCGGGCGCCGGACCCCCAGGGTGGAGCGGCAGGCGCCGGACCCCCAGCGGAGCGACAGGTCTCGGGCCCCCAGGGGCGAAGCGGGCGGGCACCGAGTCACCAGGGCACGACAGTGGGCTCCGAGAGTCAACATGGCATGACCGCTGGCACTGGGTCAGACATTGGATCGTCCCTGGCTGGACAGCGGCATCGGGTCACCCAGGCATCAGGTCATTTGGCTCGACAGCGGGCAACCGCGTCATCTGGCAAGGCAGTGGGCTCCGAGTCAACTGGTATGACCGCGGGCACTGGGTCAGACATTGGATCGTCTGACAGGACAGCGGGCATTGGGTCACCAGGCATCAGGTCCATTTGCTCGACAGCGGGCATCCGGGTCACCAGGTATGACAGGGGCATCGGGTCACCAGGCATCAGGTCATTTGGCTCGACAGCGGGCACCGCGTGCATCTGGCAAGGCAGTGGGCTCCGAGTCAACAGGCACGGGACAGTGGGCATCGGGTCACCAGGCATTGGATCGTCTGGCTCGACAGCGGGCATCGGGTCACCAGGTATGACAGCGGGCCCTGGATCACCAGGCATCAGGTCATTTGGCTCGCCAGCGGGCACCGCGTCATCTGGCAAGGCAGTGGGCACCGAGTCACCAGGTACGACAGCGGGCTCTGAGTCAATTGGCACGATAGGCGGGGGCACCGGATCAGGTACCGGATCATCTGGATCAACAGCGGGCATCGAGTCAACTGGCCTAATAGGATCGTCCAGGCTGGATCAGTTCATCATGCTGGGTAGAGGCATCAGGCTGAATGCCGCGTCCGGCTGAGTAGAGGCTTCAGGCTGAGTAGAGGCTTCAGGCTGAGTAGAGGCTTCAGGCTGAGTAGAGGCATCAGGCTGAGTAGAAGGCTTCAGGCTGAGTAGAGGCTTCCAGGCCGAGTAGAGGCATCAGGCCAAGTAGAGGCATCAGGCCGAGCAGAGGCTTCAGGCCGAGTAGAGCTTCAGGCAGAAGAGAGGCTTCAGGCTGAGTACAGGCATCAGGCTGAGTACAGGCATCAGGCTGAGGTAGAGGTTTCAGGCTGAGTAGAGGCTTCAGGCTGAACCACGGAAGGGCAGGTTCACCGGTTTGGATACTGGCAGGATGGTATTGGTTGGAAAGAATTTTCGCTTTTTTCTGGTTTTAACTACTGGAGCACTGCAAGTAAACGCAGGTCTGCAAACGAATGGAGCAGCTGGAGACAGAGAAGAACTGGAGGATGGAACAGGAGAGGGAGCAGTTGCTACAGAGGGCTTTTTTACATGGGTTAAAGGCAGTATAGGTGCAGCGAGTGGGAACTAGGGTACTGACATGCGGTAGATAGCCAAGTATACTGGGCTGTAACTGGGGGAGTTGTTGGGAATACAGGAGTAGAGCTTTGAGGAGATAGATTAGAAGCAGGACTGGGTCTTTGTAATGCTGACTGAGGCTGGGTGTAACAAGTCTGTCCATGTCTGCAGTATGGGTTGAACAAAGCTGAGCTTACACAAAGCCTGTCTGACCCAAGACTGCACTGCGTTTTTATACAATCTCTTAGTGTCTGTGGTGAACATGTGGAATAACGCTCCAGAAAGTAAACCCACCATCATCCTCTAATAACCACACCAGGACTCTACCTGGTCTGCACTAAATGGTGGCAAAAAATTCATCCCTGCATTCGGGAAACCAGATGAAACCAACTCAACACAAACCTTAAATCAATGGCTGCACCATAGAGAAATCTGTGCCCTGATCTACAAGAACATGAGCGAGCCGTATACATTCTAGCAGTTCATCCCGGGGATACTCCTTCAGAGTCTGATAAGCATATTTTCTGTCATCAAGCACTAGCAGAGATAAATACTCAACCTCATCAAGATCCATCCTTCCCAGCAACAAGCCAAGATGGCTTCCCTGTGCGCCACTTCTGGTCAGGATTGGCCTTGGTGTAATGTCAGGGCTCCCAGGTGTGACCAGAGGTGTGTGACTGACACAGGGAAACGCAGACTTCAGATATGTGATAAACAATATAATTTTATTAACACTAACCATACAAACATAACGCAGTGCAATACTAAAACATAATACAGTGCAAACAAACCAAACCAACCACCCACAGATAACAGTACATACAAGCAAGCGTCGTCAGGCAGGCCGGGTCAATATCAATAGGCAGGTAGGTACAGGGGGAGCAAGCGGAGATGGGTCGGGGTCACAGGCCAGGTTCAGCAGGTAGCTAGCAGCGTAGTACAGAGGGTCAGGCAGAGGGATGGTCAGGGTCACAAGCCAGGGATCAGAACAGGTAGCAAGCAGCGTGGTACAGAGGGTCAGGCAGAGGGATGGTCAGGAGCGAGCCGGGATCAGAGCAGGAGAAGTCAGCAGCGGTTCAGATCAGGCAGGGTCAGCAAAGGAACAGAAACAGGATGCAGGACAGATACAGGGCCCAGGGACAAACACAACACCCAGGCAGAGTCTGCAAGTCTGGCCATCCCTTAAATACACCAGTATCATCAGTTTCCAGGTGTTAGCTGGCTTGAAAGGTGTGAGTCTCTGATTGCTGGGGAGCACCCGCTGGCCAGCCCTGGTACTGCAGATCAAAAAGCAGGTGAGTCCCACCATTGCTGGCCAGTCCATTCCTGACAGTTCCACATTCACTAAGCTATGGGGAAAATGAGCTCAGCTGCACTTGCAAAGTGCACAGTTTTGTTTTGCCTTTTGTAAATCAACCCCACTGGGGACAGGGAGCCAAAAAAAACACGAGGGTTCACCCCATTCTTCTTTATCTGTAACAAAAAGAAAACATTTTGGCTGGAGTATCAACTTTCAGGCATGTTTTCACTTAAATATGATTTCTATTATCTGGAACAAGAAAAAAAGGTTTGTCTATGAATTTCCTGGACAAAAATGATTTATTACAGACGATTCCTGTGAATCATCCAAAATTCAGATGGCATATATGAAAGCAAAAGCACAGATAAAAAATGTGTAAAGACAATTGTTACATTAAAATCCAATTACAAGAGAAGTATTACTGTTATTGCCAAAGTTTTTTTTTCACACTTACTTTCATTCTCCTGTGACCCTGAGACAGCTGATGGGTGTTGCTGCAGAGGGGCAGAGCCACACCAGCCACACAGGCTTTGGAAGGATCCTGAGGCTTTTCAGTCACCTTTTCAGTATTCATTAAAATTATACCTGGTGATTTGTGACATGACGGTCCGTGTTCAGACAGTTCCTATTACATGGTGACAGCTTCTCCTCCAGCTGTGCTCCTGCATTGCTACCTGTTTCATGATTGTATGTATACCTGGTGGAGACTGCAGGTGGCAAACATTGCACAAGCATGGTTCACCATTGTTACTATCCATAAACTGGACAAGGGCACATGTGTGCATGTTCTCCCTGTGCCTGCGTGGGACCTCTGGGTACTCTGGTTTTCATCCCACACTCCAAAGAAATGCTGGTAATTTTGATTGGCTCCTGTCTAAAATTGGCCCTAGTATGTGTAAATGTGAGTTGGGGACCTTAGATTGTAATCTGTAATGTGCATATACAAGATAAATATATAATGTAAAGTGCTGCATAAATTGACAGCACTATATAAGTACCTGAAATAAATGTGGACAAGAAGTTGTTGAAAAAGGAAGGCAGAAGATCAGCAGCACTAAGATGCACTAAGATGCAAATAAGGATGTTAAAATGCATTTTAGTGGGAATAGACACAATGGTAATTGTTTATGATGCGCTGTGCCTACAGTGGTTCTAAAGGCTGAAGGTTTTTTACCTTTATGCATTCTCTGTATTAACATAAATAACTTTCAGTGTGCAGCCCCCCCTCACCCCCCCCTTATATTCACATGAGCTGGATCTCCATCCAGGGATGTGTTACAAGAGCAGAAGGTCTCCCTCCTCATTGGCTGAGACACAGCAGAGGAAGACACTGGCTCCTGCCGCTGCCAATCCACAGCCATTGAGGAGGGAACAGGGGGCAGGACCGAGTTACGCTCTGTGAGTCTTACGCCACACAGAGGCGACTCTGGAGCGAGCACGCATGAGTGCCCCCATAGCAAGCAGCTTGCTCTGTGGACACTTAGTATGGGGGAGAGGCCAGGAGTGCCGCGGGGGACCTGAGAAAAAGGACACCGAGCTGCTCTGTACAAAACCATTGCACAGAGCAGTAAGTATAACATGTTTTGTTATTTAAGAAAAGAAACAAATTGGAAGCTTATAGTATCACTTTAGGAAACTAAACGTCATCAATTATAGAGGTTTAGATCTACTTTTGTGCATCATAATGCAACCAAAACGGCTGGACTTATAAATCTCCCAGCATGCTGAAAGTAGCTTGAAGATTGAAAAAAAATAAATTCTGACTTTTATTTCAGAAATAAAAATGTCAATCATATCTATGGATGAAAGGTCTGTTCTCTTTAACCTCCTCGGCGGTCTGATTATTTCAGATTTTTGGTGCTGAAAGCGGTACCATTATTTTGCATGGAAATATGTAGATTTTTTTATTGTAGGCCTGTAATATTTTTAGGAATAAAACTCACTGAAATCTGTCCGAACAAGAGTCTATTAAACATCCCGGGTATGTAAAAATTTGAAAACACAAAATCATAAATTATAATTTAATAAATAATCATAAAAAATAATAATATAATAATAATACATTTAATTCAATAATATAATCAAACCAAAAACACTGAAATTTGAAATAGAGCGCCAAGTTCGCACATCGCTGAGCAAAGTCACAAAATCGTTTTCAGTGTCTGATGCCGAATATCCACACAAATCATTATCACTCAATTCTGCAAGTGGTTCTGATTTACTATCGCTGATCTTTTTGACGCCATGGACTTTTCTCAGTTTCCGGGCAGAAAGAACAGACCAAAATGCAGGCAGGGCACAGGACAAAGCACTAGGACACAAAATGTATGTGAAATGGGTTGAAACAGCAATGTTTTACTATGTAAAATTTGTTTTTGAAAAAAAAATGACATTTTTTTAAAATTTTCATATTTTCCCGCCGCCGGCGGCGCCCGTACGTCCCAACGTCACAGGTACCGGAAACACAGAAGCCGGATGCCGGCATCGGCCGGAGGAGATGGCCGGGGACGCTGCAGGGGACACATCGCGGGAGAGCGAAGGACAAGGTAAGCTCTAGGCAGGGAATCTCTATGCGGGGATGAAGCGCCGAAATCGGTAAGCCCGAGTGTAGCTCGGGGTTACCGCTTTTGGTACTGACATTTTACCCCGAGCTACACTCGGGAATACCGCTAGGGAGGTAAAGACCCCCTTTCGCACATATGTGTTTTAATGCATGCATTGCAACGTGCTAAAATGCATGTAGTACAAGGGTCATTGAATCAAATCCCAACCAATGGCACCACCTGCCTGGAGTTTGCATGTTCTCTTTCTCCCTGTGCCCTGCTTGGGTTTCCTCCAGTGATTGCTCCCACACTCCAAAGACATTTGCTAGGTAGGTTTTAATTGGATCCTGTCTAAATTGGCCCTAGTATGTGTATGTGTGAGTTAGGGACCTTAGATTGCACGCCCCTTGAGGGTCAGGGACTGATGTGAATGTTACAATATATATGGAAAGCGCTGCATAAATTGACAGCGCTATATAAGTACCTGAAATAAATAAATAAATAATGTGTTATCAATGTAATATATAGATCCATGTTCATATGCGTATGCTGTCATGAAGTATGCATTTGAAAATTGCTCAGCAGGCCCATTTTTTGTCTGCTTTCATTCCTTTTCAGGCCAACAGGAGAAGTCATGGTATTGCATAAAAGCACATGAATGATGTGACAGCGATATGTTTTTGCCCGAGTAGTCTAAATAATGTTTTATAGATCAACATGAAAAAATTCATGAAAATGCATCCAAAATGTATGTCAACACGTACTGAAAATGCATTAAAAAATGCATGAAAATGGAAATGCAAGCATGTGAACCTAGCCTTATGCCCCGTACACACGATAAGAAAATCGTACAAAAAGTTTCACAGAACCACTGATCAAACGATTTTCTCTTCATTGATGAGCAGGATGTTTTTAAATCGATAACGATATTGTGAACGAAAAAATCCGGTTGAACAACAGTAGAGATGAGCGAATCGAACTTGGCGAAGTGGAATTCGTTTCGAAATATTAGGAAAAATTCGATTCGCGCCGAATCCGAAAATTAGCAAACTTCGGATGCACGAATCAAATTTTCCCCGATCGGCCGATTTTCATCCCTTCTACAGCCGGCAAAAAGTGTCCCTGCAGAGAGCTCCGCTATTTCTGACAGTTCTCTGACAGTTCCTTCACATTTACAGCGGTTGAAACATTGTATCTAGTTTGTTTCCATTTAGGATACAGATGTTTTTTATTCGGAAACAAATAGATACAATGTTTCAACCGCTGTAAATGTGAAGGAACTGTCAGAGAACTGTCAGAAATAGCGGAGCTCTTGCAGATACACTTTTTGCTGTACTGGAATTCTTCTTATTTTCATCCTACTTCTTCTTCTTCTTCTTCTTCTTCTCCTTCATTCTCATCCTCATCCTCTTCTTCTTCATCCTCATCCTCTTCTTCTTCTTCATCCTCTTCCTCTTCTCTTCTTCTTCTTATTCATCCTCATCCTCTTCTCATCCTCATTCTCTTCTTCTTCATCCCTCATCCCTCTTCTTCCTCATCCTCTTCTTCATCATCATCCGCATCCTCTTCTTCTGATTCTTTAATCCTCATCCCTCCTCTTATTCACAGCCTTTCTTCTGATCTTCTCTTCTTCATCATCCTCATCCTCTTCTTCTTCTACTCTTTCTTCTCCCTCACCATCATCTTCTTCTTCTTCTTCTTCTTCATCATCCTCATCCTCTTCTTCATCCTCATCCTCTTCTTCTTCTCCCTCATCCTCATCCTCTTCTTCTTCTTCTTCTTCTTCTTCCTCATCCTCTTCTTCTTCATACCCTCATCCTCATCTTCTTCTTCTTCTTCTTCTTCATCCTCATCTTCTTCTTCTTCTTCTTCTTCATCCTCATCCTCTTCTACTTCTTCTTCTAAAATCCTCATCCTCCATCTTCTTCTTTCATCATCCTCTTCTACTTCTTCCTTCATCACCTCTTCCTCTTCTTCAGCATCTCATCTTCTTCTTCTTCATCCTCATCCTCTTCTTCCTTCTTCTATCATCATCCTCATCCTCTTCTTCCTTCCTCTTCTTCATCCTCATCCTCTCCTCTTCTTCTTCTTCATTTTCCTCTCATTCTCTTCTTCTTCATCCTCACAACCTCTTCTTCCTCTTCCTCATCCTCTCTTCGAATCTTCATCATCCTTCATCCTCATCCTCTTCTTCCTTCTTCTTTTCATCCTCATCTTCTTCCCCTTCTTCTTCATCCTCATCCTCTCTTCTTCTCCTCTCTTCTTCCCCCCTCATCCCTCGTCTCCTTCTTCTCTTCTTCCCTTATCAACCCAAACCCTTCTTTTCTTCTTCTT